CAATTAGTTCAAATTCTTTCAGAAGCGAATGCTTTGGAATATTCCATTCTTGTAGCAGCCACCGCTTCGGATCCAGCTCCTCTGCAATTTTTGGCCCCATTCGAACAGGAGACTAGCCCGGCGCATGCCCACCAGGCAGGATTTTAAGCTCAGTCGGGGACACCTAATGAAGGTAGCTACGGGCAATAGCAATGCACCAACCTTACCATATGGTAAAATCAACCACTAGGAGAATCTAGAGCTAACTGGAGTTCTGTTCCATCCTTTGATAGAGTCACGCACCTATTTGAGTGAAATCGTTTGGGTGAAGCTTGTGAACTGAACACCTATTAAAATTCAGCTTGTCGAGACAGATAATTGACTGAAGCTTGGAATGAATTAATTTAAAAATGAAATAAATTAAGACAATACGACAGAGCAAAATCTAGCATTTAATCTTTCTTGCCAAGCGGCTTCATTTGGGTCCTCCAGTAAGGGGGGAAAAGTCGCGTCTACTAGCACAGGAAGTCGTGATCCAACCGCATGTTGGTTTCAGTGCACTTAGTCGTCCCATAAGAAGTTGCTGCTTGGCTAACCCGCTCACTGCTGCAGTGCTCAGTATCGGTCATGTATCCTACGTGGGCTCAGAGTTCCCCCTCCTCTTTGGGGGGAGGTGCCCTCTGATCCCGCTCGGGGTTTATTCCCTTAGCTCGCAGCCCACTTGAACAACAATCCCTCTCTTTATTGGTCGAGAAAATCCCTTTTTGTGTTTTTGCCGCCCTTACCGATAGCTAGAAAAATAGATTACGAGGATCGGATCTAAAGTGCCTAAAGCTATTGATAGTGGATATCGGGACTCTTAGAAGTTTCATTTCTTTCGCAAACAAAAAGGGCTTTCATAAGGGTTTTCCAGGGGTAAAAAGTTTTCCACCTAGAGCCCGTAATAGTGGGATTTCTCCTATTGCCCATCGACCGACATCGACTCATCCCAATCTTTAAGGAAGAGATCGACGATCCCAAGTTCTTTTACCCCATTCAGAAAGTCTTTTCCGCCGGACGACTCGTAGGAGGTGAGAAGGGCCCTTATTCCGTCCCACACAGTGTACTACTAACTGCAATCTTTTTCTGTCCGTGAGGATCCCACCGAAGCGCTTTCTACTTCTAATAGGCCATGAACTAGATCAGAATCATTCTCAACGAGTCCATAAGAAGTGATCCCATTTTTTTCTTCGTGTCGGGGTGGGTTCAAAGTACCATTTGTACAAATAAGAATCCCTCGTTACTGTCTGCCACGCAAATCTCACGGCTTGGAGTTCCGGGCCGAGGGGATGTGTGTTGACACGCGGTTTCCTGCTTTTGGGTGTGGTGCGGTTGTGCGCGGGCGTGCCAGCACGGTCTACCGTGCGTCGAGTTGGTTGATGGGGATAGAATGGTTAAGTGGTGCGCTTGTTTGAACTCGTCTTCTAATCAAACGATTGTAGCCGAGAGAGGAACTAATCTCGGCTGTTAGGTTCACGGCCTGAACTACAAGGCCGTTGGGTGGTGCTGTTTGGTGGGTTTTTGGGCGGTGCTCCGGCGCGCTACTCAGGGAGCGACGGTCGTATGATATCTGGGGTGAGTGAGCGAATAACAGGGATGGTGCTCCGGCGCCTTGAAAATCAAGGATCGTATGATATATTGATGAATGAATTTTCCTTACAAACTATCACTACTCCTAGGAAAGCAAGTAAAATATTGAAAGTGCATTACATGAAAATATAAGTTGCTCCGTGGGAGGCTTTTGTTTGGTGTTTGAACCATTTGAATGTAGCTCGAGCCTTGTATTTATTCATTTATTGCTTTGATAGTTGGTGACCTATTCTCTCAAGCTGCAAGGATTCTTGTGAGAATGTCTACGTCTAATCACTCTGTCTTCTGTCGCAAAAACCTGACTTCAGTCACTTCCCACCTTCCCTCATGCATTAAATGCTTATTTGTGGCTAGTGGGTTTGCTGCATTAAATAGGCACTACTTCATTAAATGAAGCATGGGTCCCTGCTATCACGTGATGATCTGACTTTAATATTTCTGGCCGTGATTTTGCTCGGCCTCGGCCTCGGCCCGCAATCGAGGCCGAGATGAACATGCCTTAGCGTTTTTCTTTTGTCTTCAGGAAGGCAAAGCACCTTGGCGAAACGCTGCGTTTTAGCTTCTCGAGAAAGTGCTAGGGTCGAGAAAAAGGGCTCCTTCGGCCAGTTCATGGCCATGATTTATTAGGCACAAACAAAGGGCATTAAATGCGTCCCCACAGCCAGAAGCGCAGAACCCAAGATCATGGGGTCACACCACCATGCTTCACGATCCCAAATGTCGATTGGAGTACCCACTTGCTTTGATCACGCTCCACCATGCAGATTTTCAGCCTCGATTACTCCTCCAAGAGCTCCTCCTATAAATACCAAGTTCAAGCTACATTCAAAGGGTTCAAACACTAAACAAAATCCTCCCACGGAGCAAATTATATTTTCCTATAATGCACTTTCAATACCTTTACTTGCTTTCCTAGGAGTAGTGTTAGTTTGTAAAGAAAATCCGTTCATCAATATATCATACGACCCTTGATTTTCAAGACGCCATCTCTGTTACGCTTTCATCCATCCCATATATCATACGACCGTCGCTCCCTGAGCAACGCGCCGGAGCAACGCCCAAAATCCACCATCAACACCACCATTAAACGGCCTTGTAGCTCAAGCCGTGAACCTGACGGCCGAGATCAGTTCCTCTCTCGGCCACAATCGTTCGATTAGAATTCAAACCCAAAAAGGCGCACCACTCAACCATTTTCATCCACATCACCATCTCGACGCACGGTAGACCGTGCTGACACGCCCGCGCACAACCGCACCGCATCCAAAAGAAGGAAGCCACGTGTTAACGCACATCCCCTCGGCCCGGAGCTCCAGGCCGTGATATTTGCACAGCCAACACCCTTTAGGAAAACCGAGAACGGCGCGACCCGAAGCCGGCCAAAGGCACTAAGGTACACTAAGCCATACCCTTTAGGAAAACCCAGGGCTTGGTACGACTTGCTCCCTAAGGTTTTTTGGGCACATCGTACATCGAAACACTCGGCCACGGGCACGTTTCTTTATGTCTTGGCCTACGGCCGTGACACTGATAAACCAATGGAGCTAAAGGTTCGATTTCTTCGAGTTTTCAAGCGACTTAGGCAGAAGGTAAAGGACTACATGCAAACCATGCCCCGGAGTTTTGAAAGTTTAGAAAAATCAAGTCTCGACGCCTACAATTCGGTGCAAGCTCAAGAAAAAATGGCACCGAGGACCTACGACAAGAAAGTCAAAAAGAAAAAAGGGGGAAGTAGGCGAACGATTTTAAAAGGGATAGTGCTGTGAAATTAAAGCAAAGGAGCATACATTCAACCATTCAGAAAAGGAGGCCCATGCTTTGTATTTAAAATAAAAGGTTCATATTTACAAACAACGGCTATTTTTGGCCAAGCAAGAATAAAACATATATATGGATGCCATCATCATCGGTCCAGGGCGCGATAATGTCAGGAAGAATCGAACCCTGAATATCTCGGCAAATAGCCTCGAATTCAGTCTGGAAGGTTTGGGACCTAACTTCAACAGTGGTAGGGGTATTGGAGGCCATTGGAAAAGTTTTAAAGTGAGTATTTTGAAAGGGGGAATAAGGTCTGTAGTTTCTGAGAGAATCGCGAGCTCACAGGGGGTTCTCTGGCAAACTTGAAGGCGCGAGGTTTTGATGGGTTTTTGGAGTTTGGAAAGATGGGTCTTTGACAAAGCTTGGGCGTCTGAAGATTTTGAAAGCGTAAAGAGAAAGCAAGGAAGTCTGGGTTTTTATATTGGCGCTGGAATTCGAAACGAAAGGGCGTCTCTCTCTCGAGAGACGTAACGTTCTATCAGCACGCTCAACAGGCGCAACGACGTGTCGAAAGCTCAGAGGCCGTCGCTTCCTCTGACAAAGCGAAACGACGCCCTGGGCAATGCTTGAGGCATTAAATGCGCGGAATGCGCCGTCTGGCCTGCGCATTTAATGCCCCAGTTGTCAATCACTTCAGAAAGGAATGCAAAGGGTTCATCCCTTGGAATCCATTCGGCCCCTACCCATGCCAAGGCCGAAGAATCCAGGGATGTGGGGGCAATGTTTGTGCCTGATAAATCACGGCCATGAGCAGGCCGAAGGAGCCCTTTATCTCGGCCCTGGCACTTGTTTGCAGAGGCTGAAACGCAGCGTTTCGCCAGGGTACTTCGCCTTCTTAAAAATAAAAGAAGGAAATGCTAAGGCATGATCATCTCGGCCTCAAGCATAGACCAGGCCGTGAACCTGACAGTCGAGACCAGTTCCTCTCTCGGCTACAATCGTTTGACCAAGAAGACAGATCAAACAGGCGCACCATTCACCCATCCAACGCTCACCAAAACATCAACGCACGGTAAACCGTGCTGGCACGCCCGCGCACAACCGCACCGCACCCAAAAGCAGGAAACCCCGTGTTAACGCACGTCCCCTCGGCCCGAAACTCCAGGCCGTGAGATTTGCGCGGCAGACACTTTTGGCACGCCCGGTGGGACTTTTGTCAAAAACTTATGATGGAAGCCAGCATTCCAATCACAACGCACCGCATGGCCAGGTCCATACAGAGACCAGCAGTGATGGAAGAACTGATGTCCAAGCAGGCCTACATGATAGAAACATCCTTCACGGCCGCAATTGACAGATTCTCCTCCGAGTTGCGGACACTTTTCCAAGATAAGAGCTCGACGGGCCTGGACCTCGGCTATCTGAGTCTCAACCTGCGCGAGTTCCTCGTTCTCCCTCTGGACAACAAGGTCATTTTCTTTTAATTGCGCCATCGCAGGTCGGACTTGCTCCTTTATTACCGCCAGCTCTTGCTCGAGCGAGCATCCCTCGGCCATCCTCATAGTGGCTTCAGCATACCGGCCGATCATTTCCTCGCCTTCGGCCAAGCGAGCATGTAACTCATCTAGCTGAGCCTAGTTTAGAAGACCGAGCGCCATAGCTGCATCCAAGCAGGACCTGAACTCCACGAATGCCTTGACGGTGGTCATTTGGTGAACCCCAAAGAATAAGAACTCTCGAAGCCGTTCAACGACGACCCTGGAATCCTCGTCCAAAGGGGCCGAGGCCGAGCTACTTCCCTCCTCATGGAGGCTGGCATACAGTTCGGCAAGGTCATCTGAGGAGGCAGGTTCCTGAAGATAAGAAAACAAAAAGGGGGTCAGATATGAAACCACCAGCTAAGGGATGAGGGATGCCAAGGAAAGTCCAAATACTCACTTCAGCGGCCGACGGCGCGGCGAGGACTTCTGCAACCGCGAGCTCGGTCAGGACCGTCGAAGAGACCGGCGGCGGGCTCGGCGCACCAGTGGCTATAGCTTCGACCACTGCGAGCTCAGTGACGACCTTCGATTCATGGGATGTAAGGGCCAGAGGCATGGACACGGTGGCCGGGACAAGCTGTGAGCTCGGTATAATGAGGGCCGGGGACGAAGGCAATGACGATCTGGGAGGCTGAAAATGGAGCTCGATTAATCAGCGACTCGCATAATAAATTTGAGAAGAAACTAACTCATAACGAGAACGCTTACCGAACGGATCACAATGCCGCTTGGACGGCGGGGGATGACCGGCGGTATCTCAGTAGAGGCCGTGACGGCTGAGGTAGGCACAGCAGAAACAATCGGAGGAGATGCCACCAGGGCGGCCCGTGCTATTTCCACGGTGGTATCCTCGCTGTCTGATGTATCTGCGGTGGCGGCCTCAGTAGCTGGCACCTCGGCAGCCAGCGTTCCCGCAACTTCGGCAGTGGCAGCCTCCTCGACCACCACTTCGGCAGCGGCCGCCTCCCCGACCATCGCCTCAGCAGCAGCTGTTTCCTCGGCCACCACTTCGCCCTGAGGAAGGGACCAGATTATCAAAATATAAAAAGTCAAAAAAAAAAAAAAGAGAAAGGA